TCCTGTATCACAGAACACGTGGTGCTTCCTGTATCATAGAACACCTGGTGCTTCCTGTATCATAGAACACCTGGTGCTTCCTGTATCATAGAACACCTGGTGCTTCCTGTATCACAGAACACGTGGTGCTTCATGTATCATAGAACACGTGGTGCTTCCTGTATCACAGAACACGTGGTGCTTCATGTATCACAGAACACGTGGTGCTTCATGTATCATAGAACACGTGGTGCTTATCGAACTGAAGTCCGTCGATTCCTTGCTGAGAACCGACGGGGCTTAAGTAAGATTTTGTAACCTTTTTTGGTTACAGAATCGGTCCTTTTCAGACTTCAGGCGTGTAACCTTCAGCTCCTAAGTCATCAGTTTCGTCAATAACACGAACACCCGCCAGTCACGTCAATCACCCTGTCAGTCATGTCAATCACCCGTCAGTCGCGTCAATCACCCGTCAGTGGTGTCAATCACCCGTCAGTGGTGTCAATCACCCGTCAGTGGTGTCAATCACCCGTCAGTGGTGTCAATCACCCGTCAGTGGTGTCAATCACCCGTCAGTGGTGTCAATCACCCGTCAGTCGTGTCAATCACCCGCCAGTCATGTCAAACAGGGTGTCCACTCTTGCGGATAAAGGTGTTTTTGATGAAAGATTGAAAGCTGTCACCTGAAGGCTCCGAGCAGAGCTTCTGTTGTTTTCCTCAATGAGCCAGTGACAGCTCATTGAGCCAGTGACAGCTCATTGAGCCAGTGACAGCTCATTGAGCCAGTGACAGCTCATTGAGCCAGTGACAGCTCAATGAGTTAGTTTTGGTAATATATTTATATATCTTTATATTTTTTATTAATTTTTGTTTATCCTATCCACAAGTATAGGCATCCTCTCCACCTGGACATCCTGGTCGCCTGCCTTGTAGTCTGCGTACTTGTTACCTGTTAATGAGTTACTTAGTCAGCTGTCACGGGCTGCATCCTGGGGGTGGAGGCCTGATCGAGGACCGGGCCGCGGGGGTCACTAAAAAGCCCCGAAATCATCTCAAGATAACCTCAAGATATGATATTAAACAACAGGAGATGAGACAATCAGTGGAAGAGGACGGAGGGGGTCGACCAGTGTTCCGGGTTTCTCAAGATGTTAAAGAATATATTTATGCCACTTGGGATACGTCCGGATCCCCCTGGGAGAGTCTGCAAGCACCAAGCCAGAAGCAAGTTTTACATATAACCCGCATGCACTGTGTTGTAGGTAATGCAGATAGTTCTCCATCACCTCTTCCCCTCCCCCTCAAAAATAGTTCTTTACATATATAAATCACATTATTGTGGATTTCTTGTGCATAGGTGATTGTAGTGGATTTGCTATGCTATCCGGGATACATACTTTCTTTGTCTAGCAGATCTCTAACCTTGTCCATGGAGGACAGAAGAATATATATATATATATATATATATATATATATATATATATATATATATATATATATATATATATATATATATATATATATATATATATATCCTGGTTAGCATTGTATAAATGTACAGCAACGTCCTTGATAGAAAATAAAACCAATGCATACCAAGTTGTAACAACGTTCTAATACGTCATATAAACGTTATAACAAGATGTAAACCGATTGTTTCAAGCGATGGTAGGACGTGTATATGAGTGGGATTGGGTGGTATATATATAGAAGCTGCCTCGTATGGGCCAATAGGCCTTCTGCAGTTACCTTTGTTCTTAATGTTCTTATGTAACAACTTTATTACAAGTTGTAACGAGCGGGAAAAGAACGATATCAAGCAAACAGGATATCGGGCGTATCGGTAACTTCATAAAACCACTTGGGCTAGACGGTAGAGCGAAGGTCTCGCTTCATGTAGGTCCGCGTTCAATCCCCGTCGACCGTCCAAGTGGTTGGACACCATTCTCTCCCTTCCCATACCTCCCATTCCAAATCCTTATCCTGACACCCCTTCCCTATGATCTATAGTCATAATGTCTTGGCGCTTTCTCCTGATCGTCCCCTCCCTCCCTTGTGAAAAGTGCAGAGAAGAATAACGAGGCAGATTCAGACCTGGTATCGGGAACCTTTCCTACGGAGACAGATTTAACAGATTCAATTTACGCTCGCTGAAAAGTCGCAGCAGGACAGTAGGGGGGGGATGCGATTGAGGTTTTCAAACGAGACACGAAACTTCCGGAACGAATCGGAATCCTCAGTAGGGGAGGATTCACTTACAGGTGAATAGGCCTGTTGCGGCGCTCTATAATTATCATTTTCTTAACCGCCACTCGCCACGGTCCCTCAGAACGCCTCTCCCCCCCCCCCCCGTCAATTCACCTTCACAACGCCCTCCCCCGTCACCACGTCCCCCTCGCCCTCCTGCGACAGACAGACGAACCGCTTGACAGACACGATAAACGTGCGACAAGACTGTCAGTTCTGGAGTGTCAAAAACATTTTAGTTTCAACATTTATTTTGACATCCTTAGCCTCCTCCGCACACATACAACCACACCCACCATCTCTTAAACTCACCCAGACGCGTGTCCCTACTTCCTCAGTGTGTTCTCTGGTCATCACTAGCATCCTGTGATCTCTGGGGGTCATCACTAGCAGCCTGTGATCTCTGGTGGTCATCACTAGTCATCACTAGCAGCCTGTGATCTCTGGTGGTCATCACTAGTCATCACTAGCAGCCTGTGATCTCTGGAGGCCATCACTAGCAGCCTGTGATCTCTGGTGGTCATCACTAGTCATCACTAGCAGCCTGTGATCTCTGGTGGTCATCACTAGTCATCACTAGCAGCCTGTGATCTCTGGAGGCCATCACTAGCAGCCTGTGATCTCCGGTGGTCATCACTAGCAGCCTGTGATCTGTGATCTCTGGTCGTCATCACTAGCAGCCTGTGATCTGTGATCTCCGGGGGTCATCACTAGCAGCCTGTGATCTGTGATCTCCGGGGGTCATCACTAGCAGCCTGTGATCTCTGGTGGTCGTCGCTAGTTGGATGAATTTGCTAAAGTTTTTCGACTCATCGCCTCCTATAATATAAGGTTTACACCACTGACTTGTATAAGGTGGTAGAGGAAACTCCGTCTCACAGAAATATTAGGAACACATCCTGGTTTACCCTGATGATTTATATATCGTAAGTAAAATCGAGGTTTACAACCCTGACACCCTGTGTAAACTTGAGGTGGCGTTCATCAACAGGCGAGAGGTATCAGAGGCTAAAAATGACGAGGGGTGTGTGTGTGTGTGTGTGTGTGTGGGTGTTGCAGGATCGAGCATCTGCTCTTTAAGCCCTGCCTTTCGACCATCAGTAGTTCAGTGCGGTGACTGGTTTTTTCCCCCTCGCGTTTTTCATCAGATTCGCATTGAAATCTGTCTTAGAGAATTTTGCTTCGACAACTTCCTCAACCAAACCGTTCGATTCATTGACGACTCCTCTGAAATCTCTGTGACTTCTCCCACAGAAGACGTCCTCTGATTGTGACTATAGACATCTCAATATTTATCTTGTTTCCAATTATGTCTCGTCGTTTTACTGTACTTTACTCTGAATAGTTCGTCTATGTCTAATTGGTCAATTCCCCCCTTAGTGGCTTGTATACCATTATCATGTAATCTGTAAAACTCGTCCACAGGCGATGCTCGTCCATCCGGCGGTTGATCCCAAAATGCATTCTTCTGTTTTAACATAATGTGTGTTCAAAATAGGAATGTTCTTATCCAAATTAACAAATTAACATTCATATATAATAGAATTGTGTGCATAGTTAGGCTTAGGTGAAGTATTCAGGTTGTGTTGGGAATTATTTGCAGCAGTGCATGTGTGTGAAGCGTTTATAGAAGTGAGATTCGAACGAGGAAAGAAAGTGAAGCAGTGTTCGAGAAAAGTTCGAATACGAGTTGTGGGTCGTGTGTAAGGCGTTTTCCGTTCTTAAATAGAGGGGTTTTAGTGGCTGGATTAACGAGTATTTGGCCTTTTTTTCACAAGGACGGGCTCTTGCCCTATTCCTTTTTTTTCTCTAGTGTGGTGCGGTTCAGTTCCCCTCGTACGTAAAGCTCGAACAGGAAGATAAACAACCAAAACGAATCTCAATAAATCACACACAGGGAGATGAACACCAATAACAAACCTCGACAAACCACACACAATGAGAAGAACACCCATAACAAGCCTCGACAAACCACACACAATGAGATGAACACCAATAACAAACCTCGACAAACCACACACAATGAGAAGAACACCCATAACAAGCCTCGACAAACCACACACAATGAGATGAACACGCATAACAAGCCTCAACAAACCACACACAACGAGATGAACACCCATAACAAGCCTCGACAAACCACACACAATGAGATGAACACCCATAACAAGCCTCAACAAACCACACACAACGAGATGAACACCCATAACAAGCCTCGACAAACCACACATAATGAGATGAACACCCATAACAAGCCTCAACAAACCACACACAACGAGATGAACACCCATAACAAGCCTCGACAAACCACACACAATAAGATGAACACCCAGAACAAGCCTCGACAAACCACACACACAATGAGATGAACACCCAGAACAAGCCTCGACAAACCACACACACAATGAGAAGAACACCCAGAACAAACCTCCATAAACCCGCCCTTCTGGGGGTTGGGGGTGGGGGGGGCCAGTGGTTGGAGTGGGATGAACAATCAAAAACAAACCTCATTATAAAAAAAACCTATTTAATAGGACCTGCAGCGTGTGTCCCCGGCCGGAGAGTAAGTGGCTTCATTACCTGGGTGAGGCGGCCCTACACTGGCATGTTTTCAGCCACGGGCAAACCCAGGAGTCTGATGATGATCACTGGCGGAGAAAAACATGCCTAAGGGCCTCATTACGCTGTCGGCGACGTAGTAATCCAACGGAGAGTAATAGATTGTTAGGACGTCGTCATGCCCATTCGTTTTCAAACTATAAATCCGTAAATAGTTATCGGTTTTCTTGTTCGTATTGGTGGGTGGGTGCGGGCAGGTCGTACTGGTGGGTGGGTGCGGGCAGGTCGTACTGGTGGGTGGGTGCGGGCAGGTCGTACTGGTGGGTGGGTGCGGGCAGGTCGTATTGGTGGGTGAGTGTGGGCAGGTCGTACTGGTGGGTGGGTGCGGGCAGGTCGTATTGGTTGGTGGGTGCGGGCAGGTCGTACTGGTGGGTGGGTGCGGGCAGGTCGTACTGGTGGGTGGGTGCAGGCAGGTCGTACTGGTGGGTGGGTGCGGGCAGGTCGTACTGGTGGGTGGGTGCGGGCAGGTCGTACTGGTGGGTGGGTGCAGGCAGGTCGTATCGGTTGGTGGGTGCGGGCAGGTCGTACTGGTGGGTGGGTGCGGGCAGGTCGTACTGGTGGGTGGGTGCAGGCAGGTCGTACTGGTGGGTGGGTGCGGGCAGGTCGTACTGGTGGGTGGGTGCGGGCAGGTCGTACTGGTGGGTGGGTGCAGGCAGGTCGTACTGGTGGGTGGGTGCGGGCAGGTCGTATTGGTGGGTGGGGGCGGGCAGGTCGTATTGGTGGGTGAGTGCGGGCAGGTCGTACTGGTGGGTGGGTGCGGGCAGGTCGTACTGGTGGGTGGGTGCGGGCAGGTCGTACTGGTGGGTGGGTGCGGGCAGGTCGTATTGGTGGGTGGGTGCGGGCAGGTCGTATTGGTTGGTGGGTGCGGGCAGGTCGTATTGGTGGGTGGGTGCGGGCAGGTCGTACTGGTGGGTGGGTGCGGGCAGGTCGTATTGGTGGGTGGGTGCGGGCAGGTCGTACTGGTGGGTGGGTGCGGGCAGGTCGTACTGGTGGGTGGGTGTGGGCAGGTCGTACTGGTGGGTGGGTGCGGGCAGGTCGTACTGGTGGGTGGGTGCGGGCAGGTCGTACTGGTGGGTGGGTGCGGGCAGGTCGTACTGGTGGGTGGGTGCGGGCAGGTCGTACTGGTGGGTGGGTGCGGGCAGGTCGTACTGGTGGGTGGGGGCAGGTCGTACTGGTGGGTGGGTGCGGGCAGGTCGTATTGGTGGGTGGGTGCGGGCAGATCGTACTGGTGGGTGGGTGCGGGCAGGTCGTACTGGTGGGTGGGTGCGGGCAGGTCGTACTGGTGGGTGGGTGCGGGCAGGTCGTACTGGTGGGTGGGTGCGGGCAGGTCGTATTGGTGGGTGGGTGCGGGCAGGTCGTATTGGTTGGTGGGTGCGGGCAGGTCGTATTGGTGGGTGGGTGCGGGCAGGTCGTACTGGTGGGTTGGTGCGGGCAGGTCGTATTGGTGGGTGGGTGCGGGCAGGTCGTACTGGTGGGTGGGTGCGGGCAGGTCGTACTGGTGGGTGGGTGTGGGCAGGTCGTACTGGTGGGTGGGTGCGGGCAGGTCGTACTGGTGGGTGGGTGCGGGCAGGTCGTACTGGTGGGTGGGTGCGGGCAGGTCGTACTGGTGGGTGGGTGCGGGCAGGTCGTACTGGTGGGTGGGGGCAGGTCGTACTGGTGGGTGGGTGCGGGCAGGTCGTATTGGTGGGTGGGTGCGGGCAGGTCGTACTGGTGGGTGGGTGCGGGCAGGTCGTACTGGTGGGTGGGTGCGGGCAGGTCGTACTGGTGGGTGGGTGGGGGCAGGTCGTACTGGTGGGTGGGTGCGGGCAGGTCGTACTGGTGGGTGGGTGCGGGCAGGTCGTACTGGTGGGTGGGTGCGGGCAGGTCGTACTGGTGGGTGGGTGCGGGCAGGTCGTACTGGTGGGTGAGTGCGGGCAGGTCGTACTGGTGGGTGGGTGCGGGCAGGTCGTACTGGTGTCCCGCCGCTCTGCAGGTTATCTTGAGGTTATCTTGAGATGATTTCGGGGCTTTTAGTGTCCCCGCGGCCCGGTCCTCGGCCAGGCCTCCACCCCCAGGAAGCAGCCCGTGACAGCTGACTAACACCCAGGTACCTATTTGACTGCTAGGTAACAGGGGCATAGGGTGAAAGAAACTCTGCCCATTGTTTCTCGCCGGCGCCTGGGATCGAACCCAGGACCACAGGATCACAAGTCCCGCGTGCTGTCCGCTCGGCCGACCGGCTCCCTGTCTGAGTTAGTGTAGGTTAGTGTAGGGTTGTAAATGATTGTTACTATAATCTTAGATACAACCATTGTCATAGTTCCTGTTATGTGGTCTCTGAATCCTTCACATCCCGGAATTTCCATATCGTCAAAACTCCAGTCCTTTTTTATCAGCAGGGCCACTCCTCCTCGTCCTCTTCCTTCCCTCTTTGTTCTTACTACATAGTACTCCAGTGGAAACACTGCGTTTGTTATAACGCTTGACAGTTTAGTTTCTGTGAGTCCTATTACATCTGGGTTTTCTTCCTCTGCCCTTTTGGTCAGTTCACTTGCTTTATTAGTAATCTCATCGATTTAGTACATTACCTCGAAGCTTACTTTCTTATATGTGTGTGTGTGTGTTTTACAGTACACACATGCATAGATGTGTTTACAATGGTGTACAAGTTAAATGTGTTTACAATGGTGTACAAGTTAGATGTGTTTACAATGGTGTACAAGTTAGATTGTTTACAATGGTGTACAAGTGTGTTTTACAATGGTGTACAAGTTAGATGTGTTTACAATGGTACAAGTTAGATGTGTTTACAATGGTGTACAAGTTAGATGTGTTTACAATGGTGTACAAGTTAGATGTGTTTACAATGGTGTACAAGTTAGATGTGTTTACAATGGTGTACAAGTTAGATGTGTTTACAATGGTGTACAAGTTAGATGTGTTTACAATGGTGTACAAGTTAGATGTGTTTACAATGGTGTACAAGTTAGATGTGTTTACAATGGTGTACAAGTTAGATGTGTTTACAATGGTGTACAAGTTAGATGTGTTTACAATGGTGTACAAGTTAAGCTTCGACCATCTTTCACCTGATCCTCTCCACTTATTTACTGCTCTTACCCTGTAGATGCTATTACAGATATCTTTGAACACTGCTATTTAGTCTAACATATCAAGTCCCTTAGGTATCTTTTATGTCGTAATCAGATTTCTTTTGTTCCTTCTCCACCTGTTTTGCATCATCATCAAATATAGATATGATTAAGCTTATTTCTTTTTTGTTAATCGTTGATGCTAAAGAATCCCACGACTGAAATCATAATAAACAAAATTCCGTTAAACACGCCCAATAATACATTGACATCCAAATATTTAGATGTCGAATTCCGTAGTGATGGAATAAGGTCGTAGACCCGTCTCCGGGTGAGGGAATACAGGCCTAAGTTACGGACGACACACCAACTATACCGCCATGACACCATTATCAAACCATTACTGCAGACTAGGTAGTTAATGAATAAATGACATGAAGATCTAATACAAATAATACATTACTATAGAGCTGAAGGGTGTATAATTACTGTATGCTGCATAATAAGTGGCCACATTGACAGTATTCAGTACAGTAAAGCATAGTAGGTTCCCCCCAAGCGAGTTAATAAGCTCTGGCCTAACAGTGCACAAGACAACTGCCCAATTAACACAGTAGCAGGTTTAGCCGGGCTGCCCTGCCTAGGTCTTCACACACGGCAGTATTCTTGACAGTTGATTGACCGTTGAGAGGCGGGACCAAACAGCCAGAGCTCAACCCCCCCACAAGCACAACTAGGTAAGTACTAAAATCCAACAAAATATATATAATAATTTATATTTCGGCGGCTTAAAAGTTAATAAATCAGCGATTATAAGAAGTCAGAATCAATGTCGAAGACAATATTCGATCCCGTCAACTCAAGACTTCAAACTTCAAAAAGAGACGCATAAATCGTTGCTCTCTTGCTAGTTATACATTATTAATACAGTGAATTAGTGAGCAATGCTGCCAAGAATTCGCATAATCAGTCCAGACATCGCAGCACGCCGATCCAAAAATGAAGTCCCCCTGAAAAGAGTTTCTGCAGATATGGATTAGTTAATAACTCCCCCCCCTCCTTTCCCTCCTCCCAAAACGGCCAATTTATGGTGGATTAGTCTACCGGATTACAACATATGGGAACAAACAATCGGAGGCTTATTTCCTGCGATATTACGTGGTAATTATCTGCAAATTGTATCAGATCACGTACTGGCTTAAATTAGGCTTCTTTCAACGTGTTCTGTCCGAGCATTATAGTCGGACAGTTGACTAAAACTTAGTAGATAAAATAATCCTTGTATTAAATTGCGTTTCAGGTGGGGAGCGTGCCGTACCCAGGAAAAGTTATGTCCCTTTTACCATTAATGTATAATGACTTACTGTAAATATATATCGCTCTTGAAATAGCACATTCTCTGTAACTAGCTGACATTGTAACTATAAGGTGTAAAGGATAGATGAAATTGTTTATGTAATAATCTAAGATGAGGTCTGATAAAGACCTTTTGTGCCCTCTGTAATGCTTTTTGCGCTACCGCTCACAGGATGAGTATGGGGTGCACAATAAACAAGCCGTCTCTAGCGGCAACAATGAAAAAACCCTTTGAACAGCTCTCGTTACGTGATCCAGGGAAAGGCGACTCCCAAACCCTTACTGACTTCCAAAACAAAGGCTGAAAAACAATAGTTTGTAATACACAGTGCGTTAATTTTGACGGATACGTTTTGGGATCGGTATATAGCATCTTGGAGGAGTCTAACTTGAGGGAACCCGTCCTCTCAGGCTAGACTCATCAATACAGCGGCCGACCCCAAAGACGCCTTCATCAATTGTAACGTATTGTATTTTCAGAATATTTTCATATTTATATCATTATTATACATTACAATTTTCTGTATTTGTCCGTTTTCCCTCTCTCCCTTCCCCCTTCCCTCTTTCCCTCCCTCTTCCACAATCCAAGATTCTCTCCTACACCCATTGTCTTCCTGCTTTACTTACACAATCTCTCACCTCTTGCCTCAGCCCCCCCCCCTCACCTCTTACATAACTCCCCCATCCCTTCCTCTCCTCATGCCTCCTCCCTCACATCTATCCCCCCTCCTATCCCCCCCCCAGCCCAAGATGTGCAGGGGCCGATAAAGCAGCCTCCACAGGATTTACTAACCTCAATCTCTGGCGTTTATGGCAATCGTCGGCTTTCTTCTGCTGTTTTTGGAGAATTTGTTTACTTTTATTGTCGAGATAATCATCCTTAACGGGTGAGAAATTCTTCGGTATTTTCTTGGAGTCAGGCTGGACCGAGCCCTTGTTTATGTCGGTATTGGGCAGTTTGTACTACTGCCTCACACATGGTGTACTACTGCCTCGCACATGGTGTACTACTGCCTCGCACATGGTGTACTACTGCCTCGCACATGGTGTACTACTGCCTCACACATGGTGTACTACTGCCTCACACATGGTGTACTACTGCCTCGCACATGGTGTACTACTGCCTCGCACATGGTGTACTACTGCCTCACACATAGTGTACTACTGCCTCGCACATGGTGTACTACTGCCTCACACATGGTGTACTACTGCCTCACACATGGTGTACTACTGCCTCACACATGGTGTACTACTGCCTCACACATGGTGTACTACTGCCTCACACATGGTGTACTACTGCCTCACACATGGTGTACTACTGCCTCACACATGGTGTACTACTGCCTCACACATGGTGTACTACTGCCTCACACATGGTGTACTACTGCCTCACACATGGTGTACTACTGCCTCACACATGGTGTACTACTGCCTCACACATGGTGTACTACTGCCTCGCACATAGTGTACTACTGCCTCACACATGGTGTACTACTGCCTCACACATGGTGTACTACTGCCTCGCACATAGTGTACTACTGCCTCACACATGGTGTACTACTGCCTCACACATGGTGTACTACTGCCTCACACATGGTGTACTACTGCCTCACACATGGTGTACTACTGCCTCGCACATAGTGTACTACTGCCTCACACATGGTGTACTACTGCCTCGCACATAGTGTACTACTGCCTCACACATGGTGTACTACTGCCTCACACATGGTGTACTACTGCCTCACACATGGTGTACTACTGCCTCACACATGGTGTACTACTGCCTCACACATAGTGTACTACTGCCTCGCACATAGTGTACTACTGCCTCACACATGGTGTACTACTGCCTCGCTACCTCGCACATAGTGTACTACTGCCTCGCTACCTCGCACATAGTGTACTACTGCCTCGCTACCTCGCACATAGTGTACTACTGGCTCACCACCTCACACATAGTGTACTACTGCCTCACCACCTCGCACATAGTGTACTACTGCCTCACCACCTCACACATAGTGTACTACCGCCTCACCTCCTCACACATAGTGTACTAATGCCTCACCACCTCACACATAGTGTACTACCGCCTCACCACCTCATACATAGTGTGCTACTGGCTCACCACCTCACACATAGTGTACTACTGCCTCACCACCTCACACATAGTGTACTACCGCCTCACCACCTCACACATAGTGTACTAATGCCTCACCACCTCACACATAGTGTACTACCGCCTCACCACCTCACACATAGTGTACTACTGGCTCACCACCTCACACATAGTGTACTAATGCCTCACCACCTCACACATAGTGTACTACTGCCTCACCACCTCACACATAGTGTACTACTGCCTCACCACCTCACACATAGTGTACTACTGCCTCACCACCTCACACATAGTGTACTACTGCCTCACCACCTCACACACAGTGTACTACTGCCTCACCACCTCACACATAGTGTACTAATGCCTCACCACCTCACACACAGTGTACTACTGCCTCACCACCTCACACATAGTGTACTACTGCCTCACCACCTCACACATAGTGTACTACTGCCTCACCACCTCACACACATAGTGTACTAATGCCTCACCACCTCACACATAGTGTACTACTGCCTCACCACCTCACACACATAGTGTACTACTGCCTCATCACCTCACACATAGTGTACTACTGCCTCACCACCTCATACATAGTGTACTACTGCCTCACCACCTCACACACATAGTGTACTACTGCCTCACCACCTCACACACATAGTGTACTACTGCCTCACCACCTCACACACAGTGTACTACTGCCTCACCACCTCACACATAGTGTACTAATGCCTCACCACCTCACACACGGTGTACTACTGCCTCACCACCTCACACATAGTGTACTACTGCCTCACCACCT